TCTTGTCTATAAGATGGAGATAATAGTGCCTCCTCCTTGCGCTATTTCAAATGGTAAAAAAGAAAAAAAATGTGTGGAAGAGATGGGTAAGTGTCCACCAAAATTCATGTTCTCGGTTCTGTAAGGGAGAGCTTTTCCTAGGAAGTGGCTCCCTAACCTATTTGCATGTCTGTGGGGCCACATTCTCAATTTCTTCCCCAGTTTATAGGCAAAGGAGTAGGAGACAATGGGGCTGGAAGATGGAAGGAGCCTGGATCCCTAAAAGGAGCAGCAGCCTGCCCATCAGGGACAGCCATTTTGTAGCATTTGTGAGTAAGAAAGAGACTGTTACCATGTAACTCCCGAAAGTCTATGCTTTCTCTACTACAGCAGCCACCATATAACTTCATGTAGTGTCTAGCACAGAAGAACTCAAAATGTTTTCATTATTATCATCTCATAAATGAATTCACTTTCTATTTCTGTGAGAAGCATTCCTGTAGCAAGCATTTGTCAAGTGTTTGTAGTGTGTCGGGCACTTTTCAGCACCACTGAGAGATAGAGAGAAAATCTATGGCATCTTTGAGTATTAACACACCAAATCTGTTTAGAAAATTTACTATGTGCCAGGCACGCAGTTTTTTCTATATACTGGAGGCTCAGCAGGGAACAAGACAGACACCCTGGCTGACCTCTTAAAAGAGTGGACTGAAATCCAGCGGTGAAATCGGATGCTGAACAAGTAATTGTAAGTGTGATGAATGTTTTAAAGGAAAAGAACAGGCACTTTGGAAATATAAAAACATCTCGTAGAAAGACACTAAGGCTCACTGAGATACAGATTTTCAGAAAATAATTTTCCCAACTTTTCTCCATTAGGCCAGACTTCTTCACCCATTTTTTTTTTCTTTTCTTTTCTTGTTTCTCTTCTGTTAAGGGTGGGGAGGCGGGGCGAGGAGGGGAGCCTTGTCTTTTCCTTTGCCAGCTTCTGTGTCTGTCCTCTGGTCATCTTTTTATTTCACTTTGAAACTAAAGCCAATAAATTATCCTTCACTCTTTCAAAAACACTGCCCTTTTCCCTCAGTTTAAGGACTGTCTGCATCTCAATAATAAAAAATAAAAAGTCCCTTGAGGTCTATCAGATTTCTTTACCATCCACTCACTCCTCACCCCTGACCCTCAGCTCCCGATCATTCCACTCCACTGAAATTGTCTTGTTTTTGTTTTTCATAAACTACCCATGGACTTCTACTTACCAAATAAAGCCAGAATCCCCATGCCATCCCCTCTCTGGTGGACAACAAATGACCTACTTACCACCCAGTATCTCTGAGGTTCTCCCCACCCCTGGTGGCTTGTTTACTACTCTTTCACGTTCTGGTTTCTCCCCAGCTTTCCGACTCTTCCTTCTCCAGCTCCCCTCTCCATTCTTAAGGTGGACGGTGCTCTCTTCAGCCTCTCCTGCTCTCTCCCTTCTCCCAAGGCTGCCCCGCTCGCTGATGTTGATTACTCCCCGACTACTTCACCCTCACATTTCTATTTCCAATAACCAGCTCCACATTTCCACCTGGCTTGTCTTGCCAACATCTCAATCTAAACTTTCAAAACAGAATTCCTTATTTATCTATCCCAAACCCTTGTGATCACGTTTCCTATATTCATTAAAGGTCCCCCAGCAGGAATCATCTTCAGTTTCTCACTCACCCTCTTTCTCTCACATCCCACACTCAGTTGCTCTAAATCAAATTTTTCTTCCATCACTTCATTTCCAGCCCCACTACCTATGACCTATGTGACCTTGAGCAATTAATCCTTCTAACCCTCCAATGTCTTCATCTCTAAAATAAAGATATTACTTACATTCCAGGGTCCTTGTAAAAATTAAGTAAATAAATTCTACAAAGCACCTATAAATCACTAATATGTTAATGTATTATAATAATCATACTACTTAATATAATCATTGTAATTAATCTATCAATGCCTGGCATATAATATTTACAATAACTTGGAATTTTCAGTTATTATACCTGGTTTCCTGGCCTAAACTCTCACAGCTCCTTAATTCTTTGCTAGTAAAAGTACCACCCAGAACATGGGTCAGATTAAGTTCCTCCAAAATGTCCACTAGCTTCCCACTGTCTACTAAAATGAAGCCTAACTCCATAACATGATTCAAAGTCCTTTTAAGACTGATTTCCAAACTGCTGCTTCTATTTTGACTCTCCACACTAAGCCAGGAGCCCTTTGCTTCAGGCACTGGGCACTGCTTGCTGCTTCCTACACACACACACATGCTTTCACACCTTCTCACCTTTACTAACGTTGTTTTCATGGCCTAAAATATCTACAGATCAATCCTTTGCCTCAAATTCTACTCCACCTTTGAGGCTTGGTTTGAATGTCACCTTTTAATTGAAAGCCTTCCAGATCCTTTCAGTTAAAACTAATGGTTCTTCCACACAGTTGCCAACATGTTGGAACCACACTTTCCATCGCACTTCTTTCACTCTGCCCTGATAGCGGGGATTTCTTTCCACGTTCCCCCTGAGAGCAGACTATAAGCTCCATGAGGGTAACAGCTTCCCCTTAGCATCGGGAATGAGGCTTTGCTCCTGGTAATGGACACGCAGCAAGTTTTGGCTGAATTTTAAAATATTAAAAAGCATGGTAAGAGTAGGGGTAATTTTAAGTTTTAAACAAAATTCTGTTATAAAGGCTTTGAAGTGAAGTTGGAAAATGTTGATCAATTGGCCTTAATCAGTCAAGCTTGACTGATTTCCCTCTATTCTTCCAGATTCTTGAATAACTTGGTAAGTTGAGCCAGTCAGTAAAATTACGAATGAGTCTCTGCCTTAAAATACCCACCTATGATGAAGCACTATCATTTCTTCCCATTTTTCTATCATTTCCTCTTGAGGCTTGATTTCAGTCTCATATCTGACAGATAACTTCTTTCTAGATCATGGCCTCAAATGCTTATTTGGATCAAGAAATACCATAAGATAAACCAAGAAAATGACTATTTTTAAAAAGCATGAAGTGCAACAGAAAACTAATCATTTCAATTAGTGTCTGGATGGATCAATTTATGGTCCTTTTCCTTAAATGCCTTATGCTTTGATATAAATAGCAACAGTAATGATTATATAGCACCTAATCCTGTCCATCTGGAAAGAAATTGGCAAACATCAATTACTGCTCACAAAGTCATTTTTAAAGATATAGATCCCTTGTGAGAAAGGCATCATATTTTCATTTCAAAGATGGATAAGCAGTGGTACACAGAAACTAATTTTTTTAAGTTCAAAGATGTCATGTTAAAATTAGAGATTAAAGTTTGAAAGTATCTGAAGACCTATTTCTTCAGTGAAACCCACAGGTATGATAATGATGATTACCATTAATTAGTAGAAGTCTACTGTGTGCCAGAGTCTGTGTAATGCACCTCCCACCCATTATCTCACTTAATACACATAAAAACTCTTAAGAATTGTTAACCCAATTTTATACATGGGAAAATGGAGATTAAGTAATTTGCCCGAGACTACAAAGACAGTAAGTGGCCCAGCCAGAATTTGAAGTCATGAGCTCTTAACCACTAAGCTATGAAATGAAAATCCTGATATTAAAATCCATTTCCTAAACCCATCAAATATGAAAAACACAACATCAATACTGTGAGTATAAATATTAATTAAAGCTTATACCATCACTTTCTGTGAACAGAAAAAATTCTTCATGACACATGACTGAGCATAACAGATAAGCAAAAAATTTAAACCTATGTTTTTCATAGATTCTTAGAATAGGAAAGTGCATATTGATAAATGCCTATGTCAAGAAACAAACAAAAAATCTCAAGTAAATAAATTTAAAACCTTAACTTTACACCTCAAGGAACTAGAAAAAGAAGTACAAATGAGGCCCAAATTTAGCAGAAAGAAAGAAATAACAAAGATCTGAGTAGAAATAAATGAAATAGATACTAAAAAGACAATAGAAAAGGTCAATGAAATTAAGAGGTGGTTCTTTGAAAAGATAAATAAAATTGATAAACTTTTACCTAGACTCACCATGAAAAAGAGAGAGGACTCAAATAACTCAAATCAGAAATGAAAGAGATGTTACAACTGATACCAAAGAAATACAAGGGTCATAAGAGACTACTATGAACAACCATATACCAACAAATTGGAGAAGTCTGAAGAAATATTAGCAAACCAAATTCAACAATACAATTAAAAAAAATCATCCACCATGAACAAGTGAGTTTTATTCCAGGGATGCAAGGATGGTTCAAGGAAATTGCAGAAGAAAAGGCTGAAGCTAGTAGAGGTTGCTGCATGAGATTTAAGGAAAGAAACCATCTGCACAACATAAAAGTACAAGGTGAAGCAGCAATTGCTGATGTAGAAACTGCAGCAAAGTTATCTAGAAGATCTGACTAACATAATTAATGAAGGTGACTACACTAACCAACAGACTTTCAGTGTAGATGAAACAGCCTTCTATCGGAAGAAGACGCCATCTGGGACTTCCACAGCTAGAGAGGAGAAGTCAATGTCTGGCTTCAAAGCTTCAAAGGACAGGATGACTCTCTTGTTAGGGGCTAATACAACTGGTGACTTTAAGTTGAAGCCAATGCTCATTTGCCATCCTGAAAATCCTAGGACCCTCAAAAATGGTGCTCAATTTACTCTGCCTATGTTTCATGAATGGAACAACAAAGCCTGGATGACAGAAAATTATTTGCAACATGGTTTGCTGAATATTTTAAACCCACTGTTGAGACCTACTGCTCAGGAAAAAAAGTTACTTTCTGAGTATAAGTGCTCTTTGATGATGCACCTAGTCACCCAAGAGCTCCAATGAAGATGTACAATGAGATGCATGCTGTTTTCATGCTGCTGACACAGCATTCATTCTGCAGCCAGGGATCAAGGAGTAATTTCAACTTTCAAATCTTATTATTCAAGAAATACATGTTGTAAGGCCATATATAGCTACCATAGATAGCAATTCCTCTGATGGATGTGGGTAAAGTCAACTGAAAACCTCCCAGAAAGGATTCACTGTTCTAGATGCCATTAAGAATATTCATGATTAATGGGGAAAGGTCAAAATATTAATATTCACAGAAGTTTGAAAGAAGTTGATTCCAGCCTTTGTGGATGACTTTGAGGGGTTCAAGACTTTAGTGGAGGAAGAAACTGCAGATGTGGTGGAAACAGCAAGAAAACTATAAGTGGAGCCTGAAGATGTAACTGAATTGCTTCCATCTCATGATAAAACTTGAGCAGATAAGGAATTGCTTCTTACGGGTGAGCAAAGAAAGTGGTTTCTTGAGATGAAATCTACTCCTATTGAAGATGCTTTGAAGACTGTTGAAATGACAACAAAGTATTTAGAACATTACAAACTTGGTTGATAAAGTAGTGGATTGACCCCAATTTTGAAAGAAGTTCTACCGTAGATAAAATATTATCCAAAAGCATTGCATGCTACAGAGAAATGGTTCCTGAAAGGAAGAGTCAATCGATGCAGCAAACTTCATTGTTGTCTCATGTTAAGAAATTACCACAGTCACCTCAACCTTTAGCAACCACCACCCTGATCAGTCAGCAGATATCAACACTGAGGCAAGACCCTCTACTAGCAAAGAAATTATGACTCACTGGACCTCATATGATGGTTATTATTCTTTAGCAATAAAGCATTTTTTAAATTAAGGTATGTACATTGTTTTTAAGACATAATGCTATTGCACATTTAACAGACTACAGCAGAGTATAAACATAACTTTTATATGCACTGGGAAGACAAAAAATTCATGTGACTCACTTTATTGCAATATTCACTTTATTGTGGTATCTGAGACTGAACCCGCAGTATCTCCAAGTTATGCCTGTACTTACTTTCAAGACGACCTTTCGGATGTTTTTCACATACAGTGTCACATAATCATTGATGTAGGTAGGCATGTCGCTGGGCTGTATAGCATACCAGTTCATCATCAGCGCTGCTTCATTTTCATTATTTCCACTCCATATGATGATGGAGGGATGGGATTTCAGTCTCATGATCTAAAATTTAAGACAAAAAATAATTTTCAAATGCCCAACATAACAAAAAAACTCAGAGCTGTAATTATGCATAAAATTATACCAATTGCATTTCTGTACACAAATTTTTATGTGCCAGAAAATTCATTAGAAAATGGGTAGTCATGTTACACATGGGAACATGTTTTAAGAAACCTCTGAGATTTTTTACATTTCAATTTTATAAACACTGATAAAATAGGGTTCTTCTTTGTGGCATAAAAACTTGAGAAAATATAATCTCTTGTACTAAAAGAGCAAAATAAATCAACCTCATCATTATCTGACTCACCACAAAAAGGTTCCAAGCAATACAAAATGCAGGTGACTTCACATTACAGAGGTAAGTTTCTCAAGAGCAAGGCAGAATTCTTTGTGAAGACACAAATGAGGCAGAAAAAACACAACTGCTGAAAGAGGGATTGAGGTTTCCACACAGTCTCCACCAAGATCAGAAAATCATCAGGACAGTTAGAGAGGGTTTTACGAAGCAAGAAAAATACATGAAATATTCTAAAGAAAGAAAAGATTAGGGCATCAAGAGGCTGTCCCCTGAAATAACTATTAATGTCATGTCTTAAAAAATCAACTATGGTTAAGTCAATCACAGAATATATCTAAGTACAGAAGGAGAAATCAGGGAATCTGAAAAATCCTGCTGGCTCAAGAGTTAATGTCTGTGTGAACTGGGCTCACTGCCGGCCAGCCCCACAAAAAGTTGAAAGGACCTAGGTCTTCTGACACACAGGAAGATGTATTCCAGCAGAAAGGGCAATCAAAGCCCTTTGAGAACACCAGAGTGAGTCAATGGTCAAGAGAAATTCTTTTGGAACATGTTTCAGCATTATAACCTCATTGGTATATATAGCTTCTCTTGCTCATACTGTAATAATTAGATGATTACACTGATGGATCTAGCTGACATTCTCACAGTAGTCTCCATTCAAGATGTTACATCGCTCATACATGAAATAGAATGCATTAAGGATATATCGAAGAGCTGTATCTCATCAAAAAAATAAAGTGGTGTGTTTTTCTAAACCAGCCTTAGGAACAATATAAAGAACAGTATATTTCCTTACTGGCCTCTGTATATGCCCAGGTAAGTGAGAGGCATGTTTATGGTACTGATAAAAAACACAAATACAAATACTGAAGAGACAAAAAGCCTCAGTGACTCAGTGCTACCCACACCCTTCAAATTGACCTAGAATTTTATGGTAAGCTTTGCTTTAAAGTTTTAACAAACTCTGCATTAAAAAGTTCTCCTCTTTAATAATACATAAAAGAATTGAAGGCACCTAGATATCCTATTTTAATTATTTGTGTGAAAGAAAATTAAAAATAAAACTGAAATGTTTGCAACCTACATAACTATAATTAATATTTTATAAGTTATTCATTCATCCATCCACCCATACTTCTGGTGAATAATACAGCCAGGCCATCGGGATATAGCGTGGAACCTGCCCGAAGCCTCAGGGAGATTACTATCTTGCTGGAATGACAAAACATTGAACAAGTAATTCCAAATGTGATGTGTGTCGCAAAGGGAAGATGCCCTAATCTAGACTTGCAGACATAGAAAGATTTTTCCCAGAGAGTCATGCTCAAGGTAAGAGGGACCAGAAAAAAATGGGTGAGGTGGTCCACAGGGGCAGGTGATGGGTAAAGCGGTCCAGGACAGAGAGAGTACAGGGGAGGTGGTGTTTGGTGAGGATGGAGAGGCAGGCAGAGACAGGATCGTGCACAGGGAAGATCTTTCACTTTACCTGGAGGGCTTTAAGCTAGGGATGATTCAACATTCACTTTTTAAATTAAAAAAAAACACAGATACAGAAAATAAATTGTGACATAGTGAATTATTATAAGGCAATCACACTTGTTAACATCCTGACCAAGAAAGAAAACTTTCCCAATCACCCCAGGAGCCCTCACGTGCCCTTTCCTAATCGTTGTCCCTCCTTCCTTCCAAGAGCAATCACAATCTAGAGCGTTATAGTAATTACTTTTTAAAATTTCTTTTGACATTCTAATTATGAACTCATGGATTTACTAGAAGGACTGCAATCCACTGATATTCTTATCCTTACTGAATCTCAAATTGTCCCACTTCTGGTTGGTCAGAATTTCATCAAAGTTCTTTTAACATATCTTTGACAGCTGCTTTGTTACTCATGCACAAAATATTCCAGGGTCATCTAGTATATTTCCTGTCCCAGACCTGGAATCAGCCATTTCTCTAAGAAGTTCTTCTCTTTAAAAAAAAAAAAGTTTCGGGGGGGAAGAGGGTAATTAGGTGTTTGTTTGTTTGAATAGAAGTACTGGGGATTGAACCCAGGACCTCATGCGTGCTAAACACACACTCTACCACTGAGCTATACCCTCCCCTCTGAGAAGCCCTTCTCTTAATGGAAAAGATTATTTCAGTATGAGGATGCTCAGTATTACTAGGTTGTTCACTGCCTCTGGGCCTCTTCAGTGGACAGAGCTAGAATATAATCACTTCCTTGCATTGACAGATCTACAAATATAAAACTCTGCATATGTAGAATGCAAAAGAAATCAAGGAGTCAAGAATCACTTAAAATTTTTGACCTGAGAAATTCAGACACTGGTATTGTGATGTACTGAGGTGGGGAAAACCGCAAGAAAAGCACATTTTGGGGAGGTAATAGAAGTTTGCTTTGGACATGTTACATCTGAGATGCCTACTAACCCTCCAAGTGGAGCACCAAGTGCGCAGCTGGATAGGAAGAACCAGAAGTTCAGCAGAGAAGTCTGGGCCAGGAATAAATCTGAGAGGCGCCAGCCAATAGGTAACGTCATGAGACTGGGTGGAATCCCCTAGGGAGTCAGTTACCTGACTGGTTTTTTCATGGGATTTAGTAAAAAGAGCAACAACAACAACAACAAAGAAAAAAAATGAAAAAAAAAAACAAGGAGAGGTTTAACAAAAGGCAAAACTAAAACATGAGCCTTTCCTTCTTGGAGTGATTATAACGTACCTGGTAAGCAACTTCTGCTCTCACTGAATCCACGAAGCCCCGATCAGTTGGATAAAGGGCACAGGCAAACATAAAATCCTGCCAGATCTATCAAATCAAACAAAAGGCAATCAAGCACCGTCACAGATTTTACCGCACAGAAAGAAATTCTTCATTCTGAAGATGTGATATATATATACAATGGAATACTTCTTTATCCATTCATCTGTTGATGGACATTTAGGTTGCTTCCATGTCTTGACAATTTAAATAATGATGCTATGAGCACTGGGGTGCATGCATCTTTTCAATTAGAGTTTTTGTCTTTTCCAAATACATGCCCAGGGATGGAACTGCGAGATCACAGGGTAACTCTATTTTTAGTTTTTAAAGGAACATCCATACTGTTCTCCATAGTGGCTGCATCAATTTACATTCCCACCAACAGTGTAGAAGGGTTCCTTTTTCTCCACACCCTCTCCAGAATTTCTTATCTGTAGACTTTTTAATAATGGCCATTCTGACTGGTCTGAGGTGATACCTCCTCAATTTGCATTTCCCTAATAATTAGTAATGCTGAGCATCTTTCCATGTGCTTGTTGGCCATCTGTGTGTCTTCTTTGGAGAGGTGTCTATTTAGGTCTTCTGCCCATTTTTTGATCAGGTTGTTTTCTTGATTTTAAACTGTATGAGCTGTTTGCATATTTTGGAAATTAAACTCTTATCAGTCACATTGGTTGCAGTTTTTTCCGGTTCTGGAGGTTCTTTTCATTTTGTTTATGGTTTCCTTTGCTGTGCAAAAGCTTTTAAGTTTAATTAGGTCCCATTTGTTTAGTGTTGCTTTTATTTTCATTACTGTAAGAGCTGGTTCAAAATATTGCTGTAATTTATGTCAAAGAGTGTCCTGCCTATGTTTTCCTCTTAGAGTATCCTCTTTCCTTTTAGAGTATCCAGTCTTACTTTAGGACTTTTATTCATTTTGAGTTTATTTTTGTATATGCTGTTAGAGAATGTTTTAATTTCATTCTTTTACATATCCCAGGATCACTTATTGAAGAGACTGTCTTTTCTCCATTGTATATTCTTGCCTCTTTTATTATAGATTAATTTACCATAAGTTTGTGGGTTTATTTCTGGGCTTTCTATCTTGTTCCACTCACCCATGTGTCTGTTTTGTGCCAGTTTGGTGATTGTAGCTTTGCAGTATAGTCTGAAGTCAGGGAGCCTGATTCCTCCAGCTCCATCCTTCTTTCTCAAGCTTGTTTTGGCTATTTGAGGCCTTTCCTGTCTCCATACAAATTTTAAAAATTTTTTGTTCCAGTTCTGTGAAAAATGTCATTGGTGATTTGTAGGGACTGCACTGAATCTGTATATTGCCTTGGGTAGTATGGTCATTTTAACAATATTGATTCTTCCAATCCAAGAATGCAGTATATCTTCCCATCTGTTTGTGTCATCTTCAATTTCTTTCCGCCTATATGTATATATACATATTGCTTTCCTGTAAAGCTTTTAATTTCTCTATCAAACCTGAACTAGACCCTTGATTGGTAGAGTATTCTTGGTTGTAGGTTTTTCTGTTTCATCACTTTAAATATATTGTGCTACTCCCTTCTGGCCTGCAGAGTTTCTACTGAAAAATCAGCTAATAGTCTCATGGGAGTTTCCTTGTATGTTATTTGTCGCTTTCCCTTTGTTCCTTTGTTGCTTTTGGTATCCTCTCTTTAATTTTTGCCATTTTAATTACAACAATGTATTCCTCTTAGAGTTAATCTTATACAGGACTCTGTGCTTCCTAGACTTGGATGACTGTTTCCTTTCCTTAACCTGGGAAAGGAACCAGTCATCTCTTTCAGCTATTGTCTCTTCAGATATTTTCTCAGGCACCTTCTTCCTCTCTTCTCCTTCTGGGACCCCTATAATGCCAATGTTAGTGCACTTGATGTTGTCCCAGAGGTCTCTTAGACTGTCCTCTTTTCATTCTTTTTTCTTTTTTCTATTCTGCAGTAGTGATTCCTACTACTCTGTCTTCCAGCTCACTGATCCATTCTTCTGCATCATTTAGTCTACTATGGATTCCTTCTGGTGTATTTTTCATTTCAGTCATTGTATTCTTCTGCTTGGTTGTTTTTTATATTTTCTAACCCTGTCGAAAACGTCTAACTTCTCTCTCTGGGCATCCGTTCTCCTCCTGAGTTCTTTAATCTTTTTAATTTAATTTTTATCATTTTCTTCTCTCTAGGTTAGATCTCTTAAGCTTAAAATTTTTTAATATTTTATTTTCTTTTTAATGCATACCCTCCTATCACAAAGAGGATGACAAAGAATATGTAGATAGATATATACTTAAACACAACTAATATGGAGAATGTCTATCATTTTGAAATAATTAAATAATTATGATATTTGGTATCAACTATGGTTCTGGGTTTTCAAGATGCCATTTATTCCTCTGCAAAAAAAAAAAAAAGGACCACCATTCCTGTCTCTGAGAAAGGAATGAATGGGCAATATCACCCACTCAGAACACAGGAGGTCAAACTGAGGACACAGTAACCTATCAATAAATAAAATGGTGAGCTGTCAACTACTCACCATTATTCCTAGTTCATCACAGAGTTCATAGAATTCATCCTGTTCATAAATTCCTCCTCCCCAAACCCGGAGAGTATTCATGTTAGCATCCACGGCAGACTTCAATAGGCGCCGTAACCTACAGAAGAAAAAAATTTTTAGATGCTAATTTGAAACTTTAGAGATGTTTAAAAAAGGATTTTTAAAAGCACATTGTGGTTGATAAACACAATTCAAATCTCTGTTAGAAGAACTTATTTTAAATGTATGATAGTTCGGATGTAATGCTAAGTGAAGAAAGTAAGACAAAATTATATACAAATTAACTATAATAACATAAAATAAGACTAGAAAAATTATGGATGATATCTTTTCTTTGCCTTCCAAATTTTCAGTAACATTATTATACTATTTTTGAAAGTAAATTTTTGTCTTAAATTTATCCCTGTAGAAAAAAAATATAAACCTTGGAACGTATGCATTTATTTTACATAATCGTTTCAAACTGTAAGACAGAAATCAAAGTTTGAATATTAGTACCTAGCTTACTCTTATCTCTTTTTTTACAACACCTCCAGTCCAGTACTCCTGTATCTAGCAAATTTCCTTTCTGCTTTTTCCAATTCCTATCCACCTTACCTTCAGGTAAATCGAAATTTATAGACACTTGAAGAGCATGTACCTTCCATCTCTAGGACAGCGCCCAGAAAAGAAGGGAAAAGCCCAGTAACAGAACAGCCAGGACCCAGAGCACTGTGCTCCCAGCAAAGGCACGCTGGGCAGGTTTACTAACTGGCCCAGCTGTGCTGTACAGCTGCCACCGAAACCAGCCAGCAGAGGAAAGGAGCATTTGAAAAGGCAAAGAGACAACTGATTATCTGTGCTGTGATTGGAGAATAATTTCATTTTCATATGGAATTCAGAACATTACACACATTTTGAAATAAAAGGATATTACTACAACTTTTGGCAAAATTAGAGTTTCGTTACCAACCACATCTACATTCCAAATATAATATATGACAATGCATATTTACACATTTAAATAAGTTAAGTATGTTTATTTTCACTTCACAAAGTTTATTTTCACTATCACAAAGATAGCAGTTTATAAACCCAATCAGGAAATTTATTTTTGTAACGTTCTGTTCTCAAAGCTTCAGAAAAACACTGAAGTTTAAAATTTCTTTAATTCTTTTTATCAAGGTAAAAGTAGGAGAATGTGCAAATATCTTAGTATGACAAGGTAAATATGGGTTCCCATTAAAAAAAAAAAAAAACCTTCAGGTATTCTTCAAAAAAAATTAAGTAAAAAAAAAAAAAAGCCCAAACTTAATCGTCATTTTTTTGGGGGGTGGGAGGGTAGCTAACCATCCAAAATGTACATTAGTCATTATTTTGTTCCTCTATAGGAAATAAATAATAGTTTTGTAAAAACTGGATGGTTTCAGCAGCCCCAAATAGTTTAGCTGTAAGATTACTAACAGCTCATGAGAATGAAATGAGTGATTTTTAAATCCTTTCCATTACAAAGTTTCCATTATCCTAGAATTATATATTACCTCTTCGTTCCTTCCACTGGAAAGAAAGTAAAAATGAGTAACTCTTAAGCTCTGTGCAAGAAAAAAAAAAAGATAACTTACATGGCAGAGGTTACTCGATCCTGGAATGAATCTGCAGGGATCCAATTTGAGCCTTTCAGAAATATGGGAAATCCATTAATTTTGAAATAGAAACTCAGACCAGGAGACTCTTCTATGGGCTCTTCTATAAGTTCCACTGTCCTAAAGTAAACCTGTTATTAACAGAATGAAATACTGCATATCAAATTTAAAGCATAAGCATCTGCCAAAACCAAACTGTACTGTTCACTAGAGCTTTAAAAAAATTTGTCTTAAAAAACAAGAGATTTTTTAAAGCAAATTTTGAGCAATTTACATGAACACAATTCAGTGTTAATTTCCTATCTGCTATGAAGCACTTAATGTGAAAGTGCACATTTTGGGGAAATAAGTATATATAAATTATTGCCAGATCATTATTTCTCTTTGAAATGAAAAATAAAGAAGCTATTAAAGAGTGAAATATATTGCAGTCTTTCCCATGAGGTAGGCACTTGCAGTTAGTCAAAAGAAATATATTTGAGATAACATTTCAAAATTAATACAAAAACTGATATCATTTCACAGAAGTGGGGGGAAAAAAGCACCAGTTAAACTGATGCATCTTTGATTGAAAAACACATTCTTACTTCAGTGTTGTTAAAATGTGCCAAAACGCACATCCTAGAATCAAAGAACTACAGCACAAGGTATCTCATAATTTAATAACTTTCCAATCTTAATAGCACATTACTTATGTTTAATGGGCAGTTTAATCCTAACCAATTATCACATTAAACTCAATGTCTCAGAGAGCACTGGTGGGGAGACTGGAGATGTAAGTGGTGTTCCAACTGGAAGAAGGGATAGGAGCACACACTCCAGTGTGACCATTGCTATGTGAGATGAGGCTAAGACCCTTGTCCCCATGACAGTCTAGCCAGGTTTTCCCAAAACTGAGCAAGAGCAGCAAGACCCTAGACAGAAAGATTGACATTCTTATCCAAATCTTCATTCTTTTCAGCCATACACTGGGTCAAGGAATGAGGGCCCTAGTTCTACACCAATAAAGCCTCATCTTGAAACCAAGATTATGCATTTCTTCTCTAATTAAAAATAATTAATTATTTCGTCAACTTATTTCACATAATAAAGTGCCCACCATTCTTCCACTTTCTTATCCTTGGCCTAATTAATATGACATGACAAAAGATAACAGGGTTAACTTTATGAGAAGACACAGAACAAGGCCTGGACGAGGAGGATCTTGACACGGGACTACCACACCTGCTTTACAGTGCAAAAATGTAAAAAACAAAAACCAAAAAACAAAAAAACTGTATGGTCATTTTCAGAGGTAACTTATAAAACACCTTGATGGTGGAGTCAAATGTCTAGAATAGCAGTTCTTTAAGTGTGGCCAGGGGACCACAGAGGATCCAAAGGGAACATTTCAAAGGGTCCCTGAGTTCAAAGCTGTTTTTACTGTAAAGCTAAACCATTATTACCTTTTCCAGTCTCACTCTCTTTTGAGTGTACAGTGGAATTTTCCAGATGCTACATAATGTGTGATAACATTCCAGTGGAGTGTGTGCTTGTGTATTCTGGGGTGTCCTACCTCTACAGTAGAAGTTTAGTGTGTGAAGAGGTGTGTTTTCAGAGATTAACTCAATTTGATCTCAGTACTACTGTGTTCTGACTGGCTTGCCTCTGGTTATTCCTGCTCTAATCTCTGTAACCTCATTACTGTTCAATAAATTCTTATTTTGAATCCCCAAATTTTTCTTCTAACCTACACAGAAATACAAAAGAACTAGGTACCTTTTGTTCATTTGTTTCATGTAATATTTTTACATTTTCAAACAAGAACAAATTTTAATTTTGAGACTCATTTTAGAGTTTAACAATATTTTATCTCATTCTAAAAGAAAATTTATTTATACTTTTTCCTAATTTTCGTCTTAAAATAGGATTAGAAGACTAATATCCTCAACCTACAACCACACTGTCTACATCTAAAAATGTTTTTTAAAAAAAGAAATTGACATATCAGAGAGTCTTCTGACTCACAGAAGGGAAGAATCTACTCCAAAGAAACTGGGTGAAATTATAAATAAGAAACGAGATTATGATGAAAGCCATTTTCCCCTCAAATTTATAGATGTTAATAATTTCTCTTATTGTGTCTTATGCAATGGAACATTTTAAAAGTAACACTCATGGTGCCAGTAAAGTTGTTGTGTCATTTTGAGACCAATCATTCTAAGTATAAAGAAAAAGGAATTGAATATTTTAATTTAGACGCGATAAGCTCTTTAAAAGGCCAACACTGTGTATTATGTTGTAATATATTTGTATTGTATTATAATATTTTTCAAACTAGAAATGAAAAAAACCACTGGAGCATCTTACATGGTTGGTTATCACTCTGCATTGGCTGGAGAAGCACAGATATTAGCTGGGAGAGTTTTACAGCTGACATTGCTGAATGCCTACTGGATAAAAAGTCAGACAAAGAAATTACAGCACTGTCACTCTGCAATAACACAGTAATTTATCCAATTAAAGATTTAGATGCAACTAAATCAATGAGACTGAGTTGACGTCTCGTTCTAAGAATCATACTTCTGCCTTACAAATGGATGGGTCTCCAGCATGACGGGGTTGCTGTTCTGCTTGTATTTGTCTGTTAATTAGCACAGCGAATCATCAAAGAAGATCACTTTTATGTGAATCTCTGGCAACAAAGTACAAGGGATGCTGAAGTATTCAAACTATTGAATAACTTTTTTGAATCTCAAGGTTCTCCTGCAACAACTGTGTTAACATTTGCCCTGTTGTCACAAAAGCAGTGGTGGGTAACACTGCTGGTGTCTTAGCAGAAATCAAGGCAGTGGCTCCAAACTGTGCTAGAAGCCACTGTACCCTTCACCTTCATGCATTAGTGAGGGGGAAGAAAAGCCACTTTCACTGAAGGATATTCTTGATAAAGCAGTAACAATTATTAATTCTATTCAATTCTCAACCTTGTGTACACTTCATTGTAATCGTCTGTGTGATGAAATGATGAAATGGGAACTATGAATAAAGCACCACACACCACGGATGTCTGGAGGAAAAGCATCCGGCCAGTTTGAGTTGTAAGCTGAGTTAGCCGTCTGGTTCACGAAACTTCATTTTTACTAGAAAGAACTGCCAGACAAACTGTGGTTATTCAGACTTGGTGACTTGGAAGGCATTTTTTTTTTTTTTGAAAATGACTAAAGTGAGCCTTGTCACTTCAAGGACAATAAGTAACAGCACTGTGGCCAATGATAAAACTCAAGCTTACAGGTAAAAATTAGGATTGGGGAAAACTTGTACCCACTACCATGAGTTTGTGAGTTTCCCAATACTTGTTTGTTTGTTTGTTTGGGGGGGGAATTAGGTTTATTTATTTTTAATAGAGGTACTGGGAATTGAACCCAGAATGTTGTGCATGCTAAGCATGCACTCTGACAATGAACTATACCTTCTCCCCAAATACTTGACTTTTCAGAATTTATCAGTGGTGGTATTAACAAATGTGAATATGATTTTATATAAGGAAATGGTTTAACACTTGGAAGCATTTAAAAATCTCCAGACACCAACCTTTTTCAAATAACCAATACATTATATTATGATGTCATACATGGATAAAAGATCCATTAAGAGTGCAAGATATACCAATAGATTTTAGTGTAACAGAGTATAAACAGTTCATTAAGATGGTTTCAGATTCCACATTGCAACTAACTTTTAAGAAACTACCACTCATTAAGTTCTAGAGCAGTACCAAAAAAAAGTCCACAATCATCTGAAAAGGCTATTACAGTACTCCTCTATTTTCCAACTACATATCTGTGTGAGGTCAGAATTTCTACATATATTTCAATAAAAACAACATATTGCAAACTGATTGAATGCACAAGCAAAGGAGAAGCCAACTGTCTACTAATCAAGCAAGACATTAGAGATTTGCAAACATGTAAAATAATGTCATTATTCTCACTAAATTTATCTTGTAAATATATTTACTTGTCATAAAATAACTCATATATTAACAGGTTCATTATTGTGATTTTAAATGAATAAATATTTAATCTTCAGTTTTAATATTTACCGACAAACAAAAGTGCCTTGGGGTCCTCAACCATTTTAACAAATGTGAAACAACTGAGTCCAAAAATTTCTTGAGAATCACTAATCTAGAAAATAGAACTCACTTATTTCTTTATATCTGTTAATGCTACAATAGTATTAATGATAAAACACATCTTCTAACATGCCTTTTCTTTTCAGTGCAAATTTTCTTATGAAAAAACAGCTACCCCTGTCTCCCAAATCCTGCAGTAACATTTTATGGCCCCGTCAAAATAAACCCTAAACCACCTGACAGTTTCTCAGAGGTCAAACAGTAATTACCAGGCACTTTTCCTTGTGCACATTCTTTGACAGGTTAAAGGCTGGTCAGCCTATGATTAGTGTCAATAAAACCGTGCCGTCTGGCAATCGTGACAGGTAACACAAAAGCCTTCTTCTACAGCAGGCATTTCACCTCACAGAAAAGAATCGGCTCTGAGAAAGGCTATCTGCAAGGAGTCCTGAGTAACATTTATTTACATCCAGAGTGAATATGTTGTCTCCTTGCAAGATCAAACATATTTTAAATGGTCCAACAGAGTAAATTACTGTCTAAAAGTAGAGAAAGTGTAAATACCTAAGAACCTAAGAAAGCAGTTGGAATTTAAAAACTTTTAATTTCCAAACTTTTCTATCTAATGTTGAAGGTTCTATCAGCAGCTCACGTAAATAAGTTTTTTAATTAGCTTCATGATTTCATCTTTAAAAGAGAAGGATTAAAGTACAGGAGAGCTGAATGCATTTTTTTAGACAAGAGTTAGAAATATCTTAACTAAAAGGCTTAAGAGGTTTGTGACTGATAAGTAAATACCATAGTTCTCAAATTTCTTTCTCTGGCTGACCAAACAGATGATGGTGCAATGAATCACTGGTTCATGAACTGAGTATTACGTCTCCACTGTCTGTAATCAAATACTTAAAAAGCCATTCAAGTATCACTAGATTTTCAAAAGAAGAATTTTCTTCTTTCAAAAAAAAACAAAAACTTACTTCTACACGCTGACAAATGTTACCTGAAGTAGTTTTCAAA